GCAGTGACAGTGGAGAGTGTAAGATGAAAACCTGTGCATGTTCCTCAGGCTGCCCTTTCTGACCTGTTCTTCACAAGTGTAATTTATGAACACACACACACACACACACACACACACACACACACACACACACACACACACACACACACACACACACACACACACACACACACACACACACACACACACACACACTGTCTAATGCACTATTAATGCTCATGTCTTTTAATTACCCCCTACATCAGAGCCAGGTTGCCACGTCCCTCAGGGCGTCACAGGCCCAACTTCCTGCTGGGATGCTGCACTCATTTCCACGCCTGCTGAGCTGCATGATTGTTGGGGCGCAGCGATGATGGCTGTTGCAACGTGCATAGAATCACACTGCGGTGAGTGATTGGTGATGGCAATAATAGAGTGGTGCTGTTGACCAATGGATGGTCCTGAGAGCCCTGTGCATCAGATAGCAGTGGTAATGTTGTGGTTGAATGACAAACAACTATTTGGATTTTAGATGTGCAGGTGGGGAGGATATGCATGAGTCCTCTTGTTTGATGCTGCAGTCGATTCATTAGCTTTTTTAACGAGACAGAAAGAAGATATGCACTGCTCTGCGTGAATTCACTAATCATACAGCAAATTTCATTAAGGTCGCCTAAGGAATGTCATAATCATCCCTGTGAATTAAAAAATGATTAGTACTGATTTACTTTACTCAATTGAGAGCACTGATGTTATAGTAAATATGTGAAATTATGCAATGCTTTTCAAGGTGTTCAAAACACAGAGTCCAGCCTACACCAATAGACACTCTTGCATTCTTTATTTAGCAGTATGTAAAAACATTTCCTTTGAGAGATATGTATTTTCCTTTAAAGCTGTCTTTCAGGATGTGAAGCACAACTGCCCACAAAAGTTTTCTGAGGAAATGCATGCAGTTTGAAGTGCATCCCTTTGCCACAAACAGATCTATTGATCCGAGTCAATACACAGTTGACGCCCAGGGTAATAAGAGAACTGTGCAGTGTGTTGTGATGTACTGGTTTTCAAAAGTGCCCAGCACAGCAAAGTTCAACATTCGGCAAGCAATCAATAAAGGAAGACAAATCCAAAAGGTAGCATGCAGGGAAACAAGACCAGAAGCTGGACCACTAAATCTACCCAGCAAAATAATCCGGCAAGGGGCCAGTGTGTGTGAGCAGCAGGTATGTATACTGGAGGGCCAGTAAAGGGGATTGTGTTTGTGAGCAGCAGGTATGTATACTGGAGGGCCAGTAAAGGGGATTGTGTTTGTGAGTAGCAGGTATTTATACTGGAGGGCCAGTAAAGGGGATTGTGTTCAGACAGGTGAGTGGAAGGGCTTAAGAGAGACAGGGAATTCATGTGCGAATTTAAATGTTTAACTGGCTGGACGTGGCTGGACCAAGCAAGGAGTCAACATTGTGTGTTTTAGTCAGGGTAATTAAAATACTCAAAGTCAGACTAAACCAGAGATATTTTATAGGGAAAAACAGAACAAATCCTAATAACTGTGTTGTTTTTGTTATTTGCTGCTGCTCTTACATCTCACAGTTCAAACATCTCCAGTTTATGGTGGATAATTATCAACAGGTGTGACTGATTAAGGTATGTAATGTAGAAAACAATAAGGTAGTTTATAACGGACACTGTGTTAATACTTCCGACCACTTTCCTAGTTAATCATTGCTAATTAGCTCTGAATTAGCTGCTTAGTGAACACATAAAATAATCAATCATGTCTTCCTTATTATGCACAAATAGTTGTTTTCCCCCTTTCCCTCTCAAATGTGCATCATAAACCAAACTGCCAAATAATTTCCTGATTATCTTTTCTTTCTCGTGACTGCTTAAGATTTGTTTACTTGAACAAACAATAGTTTGTTCAATACTAACAGATGGATTTTGGGATTTGTGTGTTTGTTATTTTTGCCAGCATCTCTTGTGTTTTTAATTTAATGTAAAACCTCTAATTATTTCTCTCTTTCCCCCTTTTATCGCCATGCTGTCAGTCAGTATATGCCGATTAACCTCACTATTTAGTTTGCCAGAAAAAGATGTTGTGTGTTCCAATACATTATATGTCAAAAGCAGTATGCCTTAAATACCAGGATGTCCGACTGCATCTGGTCGCATTTTGCATTATACAAACTAGGATTGCTTTTCTGGCTATTCTGACCAACAATTAATTAAGCAAATAACATTAGCAAAGGGGTCAAAGTTCAAGGCTTGATGTATGTGAAGTAGTAAGTCCCAATTGCTTGCAGCATTGCAGCTGCAGTACTTACAAAAAGCAAAAAGCATAAGCAACTGATTTTGAAAGCAGCCTTAGTCTGGTTTTCACCTGAATCACTATCAGACCAAAACAGTGTTCACAGGGCCTTGGAAATACATTGTATATTCCAATGGTCATCTGTGGTGAAAAAAATTAAGATCTTGAGCTTTCATGTTGAAGCTTCAGAAGCAGTGATGATAATTTCCACCCTGCGGAAAACTGAGATTTGATTGAGCAGAGAGATAGAAAGAAACCCCAGACTCACTGAAAGTTAAAGTGGAGAATCAGGGTTTAGGGGAAATGCAGTGATCAAGATGCTTTGGGATATTCAATCAAACGCCAACTCAACTCTGATGAATCTATCATGAAATTGACCTGGATGTTGGCTTCTTTGATGCTGTGATTATGGTAAGTCACTGCATAGTTGAACACAAGCACCTGGCTCACTGCTGTTTGAACTTGACTTTTGCTCAATGAATTAGAGCTGTTGTGCTACTGTTGCAATGAAAGAATGAAGATGACCAGAGGGCATTAACATTTGTTAAGAAGAATTTTGAATGTGTTTTATTTCAAATAGATAAAACAAACTATATCAATGTCTTCAGAGATATGTATTGTATTAAAGACCCTCTGCACTAACAACACAGTGTCTGCTTCTCTACCACTAGCTTATATTATAACTAACTAGTTTCAGTTCCTTAGAAGAGCTTAAATATGATTTTGTTAACAACCTATGCTAAATGGGATATGGCTACTACTTGGGACTTTTGGTTAATAGACTAGGCTAAAACGATTAGATGTTCAAATCTAATACTCGAAGAAAGTCGACGGAAAATGACACTGCTGTGGTTAAGGTCATGTTATATTCTAGTTTGATACATTTCATTATGTCCAACAACATGTTATCTTTTAATGAGGTGAGGATCTCTTTTGTTGGGACCATGGGCTTCTTGCAGGGTGTGTCTGTTGCTTTAAGAGAGCAGTGAATTATGGGTACAATTATTGGGTCATTTTGCTGTTTTCACTTACCCATCCTGATTAGACCTCTGCTCAGGTTAATTAAAATGACCTGTGAGATTGTGACATGGGCTTTAACCTACAGTCTATGGCTTTAACACATGTCAGATATAGTAAGTCTGCTTATTTTGTTTTATTCACAGTGTCTTATCTTTAAAAACGTCTACATTTAAAACCAGGGGTTGTAAAATAAAAGGGACAGGGTGTCATCTTTAATAACTGGCCAAGTGAAAAAGAGGGCAGGACTTTGGCTCCCTGTCTTTATTCTGAAGGTGTTTCATGCTCTCTGTAGTATTCAGGGCTTGTCTGTTGAACAGAGGCTCATATAGTCAAAATGTTTCACATCTTTTTTTGCCACTGGAGATTATTTTTGGTTTAAAGAAAGTGTCTTAACTACTTTGACTAAGCTCTGTGCACTGCTTTACTCAATGGGGTATTCCCTGAAATGTTGGAGTTGATTTGGTTGGATGTGTTTTTTTTCTTACCTCCAACATCCCTCTGAACCCACTTAACAATATTCCCATACACCATTTGCAAGTATGATTTATAAAAGGCGCATGCTGCCTTTTGCGAATTGCAGATAAGTACAAAGACAGATATCCAGTTGAAATATCCTGATTTCCGCTTCAGATTTAAGTTTTTTCATTTATGATAGCATAGAAGATGAAGTATGTTGCTCATTGTTATGTGCCAGGCAGGCTGTACTTGTGGGGTTTTCTTTCCCTCCTGTGTTTCTCTCTTCTCCCTGTCTTCTGCACAGCTAATCAGCAGCTGATCGGAATCTGCCTGTGCACCTGAATCTGATGGCTGATTGGATCCCCTCACCCTCAGCTGGCCTATCAGCAGCCAGGGCCGACCATAAAGGAGGCACCCAGGAAGTCTTCTCTCTCTCTCACTCTGGGCCTGTTGCTGATGAAGGAGCCTGCAGTGTTTAGCAACTCATTATCTTTGTATTGTCTGACCTTTTTGAAAGTGTGTGTGTTGAGAGGTGGAGGAGTTAGGTAAGTCTGGGGTACCCTGTACATTTCTCACCACGTAGCTAATTAATGTTCAGACACACTAGGTTAGCAGATTGTTGCCACCCCTGTATATTGTTTTGTCAAATTCTTTGTAGTTTAGTTAGTGAGGGTTTTTTTGTTTGAGTTTTGGTTTCAAAGGATAGATGTAGAGATAGGCCTGGTTTTGTTATGCTTGTTTCTTTTGTTTGGCACAATCCTTTGACTCCTCCTCCTCCTCCTCCTCACCAACAGAGTGTTTCAATTATATGTCTGTTCGATTCTGGGTTTACACAAAATAAACCTTTTGTCAACTGTTACACTGACTCCCTCATTTTTTTTGGTTGTATGTTATTGTCTCCAGGTCCCCTAGACCTTAGTGGGGACGTAACACTCGTATTCTGTTGTGTTGCTGATGTTGAATACACATCAGGGGCTAGATAAAACGTAGAATCAGGCCCCCGAATCCTCTTCTCAAATGTCTTGTTTGTTTTACTTCTCATTCCAAGGCACCGTGACTTTGCCCCTTTACTTTCACTCTCAGATCCCGAGCTCACAAAGTGAAAGCGGCACAGCAATCTCTAGGCTCATTGACTGCGGGGCCTAAGGGGCTTTGTGGTAAAAGTCTAGGCACGTATTAGCTCTGCAGTGCTGGCTGACCCAGACCAGTCCCTGGCCACATCACTATCGTCTCATGCCTACTCAAAGGGCCTCTGTGTTGGGCTGTGTCTCCAGGGAGCCTGGCCCCTCTGGAACATCATCCGTGGGATATGCAGAGCTGGCAGGTTGATGGGCAGGTATTCTGGCTCAGAGTGGCTGGACGGCTGCTCGCTGCCTCCTCGGATCATGTTTAAGGGCTGTGTGTGGGATTTGTTATGCCCCTCCATGATTCCCTAAATCCATTCTCATTGTTGCTCTTTATATGTTCTCGATCCAATCTCTCCTCTTGCTAATCTCATTCTACTTGTGGTTTCTTTCTGTGTCTGTCCTACTCTCCCCATCACTGTGACTCCTTCGCTGCATGCAATTCCTATGACTGTCTCTAGTTGCCGTTGCATTCTAATTAATTGATAAGTCCCCAGTCTTCCTGTCATCTTCCGCTGTTTTTTCCTTCCCTCTTCCCTCTTCCCACCTCTCTCCTGTTATTTGCTTCCTCTCTCTACATTCTCCAATCAGCTCCCCCCCCTCCACACTTCCTCCAGTATCCTCTCGCTCATCCCGGCTTCCACTCGCAGTGTTGTGCCTGTTTCCTTACCTAATTAGAAATCCCCTGTAGGTTTTTGGTTACAAAGCAGAATGTTTACTGAGAGCAGTTCAGCCACCGGTTTCTGGGTCATGTAAGGAGAAATGGAAATGATCAGCCTGAAGATTGGGCTTTAACATCACTTATTCATTACCTAGCAACACATTAGAGTGATTATATTACCCTCCTGCTACTTATAAAGTTGTGTAATGCATTACAGTTGCATTTTTGGTAATCATATTAAAGTATTGAACTAGGGAAAGAGTCTTGCATAAAATATGGAATGAATGTCTTAATTTAATTGCAGATTCATTGCACACTGAATATTGTATTGATACACAACTTAATATGCATATGGAGGTGTGAACTGTTACCTAGCAACAGCTGCTGTAAGTTGGTGAAGACAGATGAGTGCGGGGAGGACAGGTGCTGGAGTTGGAACATTTAAGAATGGCGCAGGAGACCGGTTGCTTCCGAAAGTGGAGAGGAACTTTCAAAATAAGTTGTTTTAGCTGGAAGTTGTTCAATGTATGTTTTTCCGTGAACTGGTAGTTGTTGGCTGTGAACATTATTAAAAGCCATGACTGTGAGAACAGCAAAAACTGAGTGCAGAAAAGCTGAACGCAGGTGGAGAAAAACAAATCTCCAGGTTCACTTGGAAATATATAAAGAGAAACTCGGTTTCTATAATCAGGAAATAAAAAAGGCACTACAGTCTTTCTTTTCTGACATCATTACCAAAAATAAAAACAACTCACGTGCTTTGTTTGCTACCGTCAACAGACTAACAAACCCCCCAGTGCCGATAGCCTCAGAATTTCTATCCACCAGGGCCTGCAATGATTTTGCCTCCTTCTTCGCTGACAAAATAATGCTAATTAGACAGGCAGTCAGTGCCTCTGCATCAGGTACAGCAAATGTACGGTCCCTGTGTTCACCTAAAGTCACAATTCCGTCTGATAAATGCTAAAGACCTGGAAGACATTATCCAACATCTGAAATCCTCCTCCTGTAGCCTCGACATCATCCCGACAGGATTTTTCGAAACTGTTTTTCATTGCTTGGCCTCAGATATACTACACATAGTAAACAAGTCTCTTGAATCAGGTGTATTTCCACAGGCGCTGAAAACTGCAATAATTAAACCGCTCCTAAAAAAGCATAACCTAGACGCAACCATAATGAATAACTACAGGCCAATATCAAACCTTCCATTTTTAAGCAAATTGATTGAAAAAGCTGTTTTTCAACAGTTGAGTAATTTCATGTTTTTAACTGACGGTTTTGATGTGTTTCAGTTGTTCTTTCGACCTAACCACAGCACTGAGACTTCACTTGTTAAGGTCTTAAATAACATCCATTTGAACAGTGGCAGAATATCAGTGTTAATATGATTAGATCTCAGCGCTGCCTTTGATACTGTTGACCACAACATATTGTTAGACCGTCTTGAAAACTGGGT